CACTTTCTAAGTCAAAAAAGGGCCATAATTCTGTCAAAAACCTTGACAGAGTTATGTACTCTTGTCTGTAGATGGAGGTTATGATGGTGAACAAGTATGGTAAGTTTCAAAGCCATACTTGTAATACTTCTGAAATAAAGTGGGGTGGTACGAAAAACTTAACCAAGGTGTGACGCCAACGCCGACGCCGGGGCGAGTATGATAGCTCCCCTTTTCATAGAAAAGTCGAGCTAAAAATACAAGACAAACAATCAAAATACTGTACACAGTTTATTTTGCTATACAACTTAAAAATAAACAGACAATGTTTGTACCCAAATGCATCTAGCATAGTATTAAAAATTTAATATATAGAGCTGTGAAAATTGTAAAAAGAAAACACTTTAGTTCCCCTGTATTATTTGAGATTCATTAATCCTCCAACAGTTATATAAATCACATGTGTAAAAATTGAAATTCTCACAACCATATAACTTATTAAACAGTAAGTTTAAACAACCACTCAAATACAATAAATCATGTTCAATAACCACTCATATAAAACCAGTTTTGTTCAGCAACCAGTAAAATATAACTAATTGTGTTCATACTAGTACAACCAGTGTGTTAAACAACCACTCAAACAACCAATCATGTTCAACAACCACTCAAAACCAGTTGTGTTTTAACAACCACTAAAGTACAACCAGTCATGTTAAACAACCAATCATGTTTAACAACCACTCAAGTTCAACCAGTCCAGTCATTCAACAACCACTCAAGTACAACCAGTCATTCAACAACCACTTACATAAAACAAATTGTGTTCAATAACCACTAAAATATAACCAATCATGTTCAACAACCAGTCTGACCAATTTGAGACAAAAGCTATTATTAAAAGTATCCAGTCCTGTAGATATTGATAGCTACACGAGCATATTAAGACAAAATATATTTATGAAGTGTTTTGGAAGTTCATAGACAAATATTTTTATGTTTTAAAAAATGAGATTAGTATACAATTACCCTGCTGAAATTTGGAAATTAATTTACAGTGCTTTGAACTGGGAAGAGTTTATTCAAATTGTAAATGATTTTAATAACAAAATACAAAAATCTACCAACAGACTTCATGGAAGTTCAGGCTGGCCCCACTCTGATGTGTTGGTGAGGCTTGCATTCATTGAACGCCGCCTTTCCTTGTCGATCTTGTTTATCATATTTTATCTATTTCAGTTCCAGCATATTAACTACAGCAAAACAAAAAGTACCCTTTTAGTTTTAGATTTCATAATTGCTGATCTTGTAAAAAATGAATTGTGAACAAATTTATAGTAAAATATACGAGTATAAGCTGCAATTATCATACAGTAACTTGAATAAAATAAGAAAAATAATTGGAGCACATGTGGTAAGAATTACAATATCTTTTTAGCTTTAAGTTCACAATACTTGTCATGATATATTATGTTACTTCTGTAAGCTGTATTAATGTCTTAGAAATGTATCATGGCAAAAATAAATATGATTAAATCAACTGAAGCACAGTCTTAACATCTTGTAATCATTTCATTGGTCAATAACAGATATGATACCAAACAAATGATTTATATCTTGAAGAGATTCTAATTTCTGTACTAGATATGCTACTTTTTCTTATTTTTTTTATAAATATTAAACAGGTTGTTCACATATTGTGATCTGTCTACAATTTACACTCCTGTCTCGGAAAATTATGATTATAACTTATCTCAAATATATGTTATAAATACCTCCTTACTTTCTTATATTTTTGTACTTTCAAAAGTTAAAACATTATGACATTTTTGCTACATTATGACATTTAAACAGACTATACATGAGAATACATGTTAAACTTCAAAAACACTCCTTAAAAAGAAATGTGTAAATGAAATGTAAAACATATACAGTCCTGTTAATACAAACAGAAAGTGGGACATCATATGTAAAAATATAACCTTCTTTTTAAAAACATACATTTTTTTCAAAAAGGTTTCACATAAATAAGTTCAAATTTGCGATTCACATTAGTAAATGTCGGGACAATTAGATGTTTTTATTTCTAATTTGTCATTAAATGCCTTGAGATTCAAAAATAAAGTGCAGATATGAACAGAGATTTCTATAAAAAGTACAAACAAACAGCTATGAATACATGCTTATAAATAGAACAAGGAGACAGTGTTTTTATTGCTATAAAAATTGTGTGTTTTGAGCATGTGTATTAAACATGAAACATCATTTATTTATCACAATAGTAGTATACAAATTTATTAAACATTTTTTTTTAACAGGAATGTCTTGAAAAATAAAAATATATGGTCCCATTTTCAACATTTTAAAATTTATGAAAATGTAGCAAGATTTGTTGAATAAAACCTGAGAAACAACTTGTAAAAGTGTTGTCTGTGACCCTTGAAATATGTCAAAAAACTAAATATTGTAAAATATATAAAGACTAAAACAATATTTTAAATTGTTTTATAATTGTTCTGTTATGGAATAACACAATAAAAGTGTATACAGATTAAACATAGTTTCATTCAGTATTTTATATAAGATATCTAACAAAAAAGAATTAATGTATACCAGTATGTCAAAATGTCTCAGGGTTATGTATCAATAAACTAGGATAAAAGTTTATAAATTTCAATACATGTATAATTTTTTTTTATAAATTTCTTACACAACAACTGCTTTCATTATCAATATTGTCAAGTGAAGAATAAAAAGATCATATCACAATATATCATGGAAAAGAGAGATTCATTGAAATCTGTAACAAATAATTAAAGAGAGCAAACAATATAAGAAAAACATATTTGTAAAACAAGATATTGAGATTCGGGTTCATGATTTAATTACAGGGTAAATATATTTGCACAACAAAGCTAAAAAAATCACAAAATATGCAAAGACATTTTCAAAAAAACTGGTTTGAGTATCATAATAAAAGGTTAACACTGCAAAACAAAAACGTAAGGAATGTTTCTTTAAGATAAAAATTTATATATCAAAAAAAAGAAAGCTCGAAAGACAAGCTTAATCGTCTAAAAGGTTCTGTGGCATTTGTATGCTCCTTATACAAGAACCTTTGATATAACTCTGTGTTTTTACTCTCAAACATTGAAGCATTTGTCGCTAAAAATGTGTGGAGTTGTTTTATGCAAAATTAAGATACATGTACTCCCTCATTTCTTAAATACAATTGTATATAAAATACCTTTTTAACAGGCAAATGGAATTGCATGTAAAAATATTCAATCTATTTAGAATAAACATATGTCATGGAATGTAAAATTCATTAAAACTCTAATAACAATATTAACAAGAGCTGTCAGAAGGACAGCGCGCTCGACTTTTTTAGTGCTTGCCTATAAAACAAAACTTTGACAGTTAAGGGCACACAAGACTTTAACTAGGAATTTCTAAGTACAAATCAAGAAACATTTTCACAGAGTTATCTTCTCTTGCTTACAGATAGGTCTCATGATGGCACATAAGAACTCCAACTTCCAAAGTAATATCTCAAATGGTTAAGTCAACAAGTGGACAAGAATGAAAATTTTAACTGAGTTTCTAAGTCAAAAAGGGCCATAATTCAAATAAAATCCTTAACAGAATTACCTTCTCCTGCCCATGTTTTGGGACCATGATGGTAAACAAGTATTCCAACTTTCAATTTAATATCTCAACCAGTTCAGTCAAAAAGTTGACTGGTACAAAAAAGTTAACCAAGATTCTAAGTCGATAAAAGGCCTTAATTTTTTAAAACAAAATCCCTGACAGAGTTACCTTCTCTTGCGTACAGATGGGGGTAATGATGTGAAATAGCATTAAAAGTTTCAAAGCAATATCTCAAAGGGTTAAGGCAATAAGTGGATTTTACCCATATTCAATGTATTTTCTAAGTCAAAAAGGGGCATAATTCTGTCAAAAACCTTGACAGAGTTATGTCCTCTTGTCTGTTGATGAAGGTCGTGATGGTAAACAAGTATGGTCAGTTTCAAAGCAATACCTCCAATGGTTTTGAAATAAAGTGAGGTGGTACAAAAAACTTAACCAAGCTCAATACACTTTCTAAGTCAAAAAAGGGCCATAATTCTGTCAAAAACCTTGACAGAGTTATGTACTCCTGTCTGTAGATTGAGGTTATGATGGTGAACAAGTATGGTAAGTTTCAAAGCCATACTTGTAATACTTCTGAAATAAAGTGGGGTGGTACGAAAAACTTAACCAAGGTGTGACGCCAACGCCGACGCTAACGCCGACGCTAACGCCGACGCCGACGCCGGGGCGAGTAGGATAGCTCCCCTTTTCATAGAAAAGTCGAGCTAAAAACCAAACATTAAGGATGGCAAGGAGTAACCGGTTGACTGAGTATTTGATCTGGACATCAGTTACCCACTGCCATCCGTAAAAACAATACATCGTAAAATATTTGTAAAACAAACACACACTTGAGATTCAGGTAAAAATATTTGATATACAATTCACTTAGTGCTAAAACACATATTTCTCCTGTAAAAATAAAATAATCAACAAATGTAAATGATATGAAAACTGGCTGAGATTCTGTGACAAAAAAGGTCATGTTAATAAAACAACAACAACTAAAGTAGTCTAGCTATTAACAACATAAACTTGAAATATATCATGCTAATCTTAATGTAAATGAAATTCTTCCAAAACATTATTAACTTTCACAACCATTTGAAACATTGTTCTGTCATTCAAAAAATTAAATTAATCTGAATGCAACAATATAGTTACTCAATTTGTTTACAGAATAATTTAAGGAAGTTTTGTAAGGAATACTTATAACATGTCAAACTCACAACATTTTACTCTTAATGTATGATAAATGTATATAAATCTTAACAGATCTTCAAACAAATGATGTATAATCAACAATCATGTATATAAAGTGCAGTGTATTATGTATATCTAAAACAATGTAAACAATATTCATGTATGTAAGTTTTTTCGGAAAGAAGGTCAACCATGTACAGAATTTCTTTTAAATCAAAAAGTAATTAAGGAGTTCAATAAAACACTGTCATAACTCAGTAAACAAAACATATAAGTTAGGACAGTGTTCTATAGAAATCCCTTACATTATTATGTCTTCTACAGACTTTTACTGTAGGACTTTAAGTTGACGTCCGATGTTGACGAAAGCATCTACGGCACGATCAATGTCCGCCTCAGTGTGGGACGCTGATATCTGCACTCGGATTCTAGCCTTACCTGTTTTAATGGTAATTATGACAATGTCAATAAATTTAATTAAGATTTGATAAGGAAATGCATCAGTTATAGCCATATATGCAGTATTCTGCTTTTCAACAGACAAAAAATGTAAGGGGAGCAGTGGTCTTGTGGTTAAGGTGCCTGCCTCTCAACCCGTAGATTATGGGGTCGAGGCCTAATCGGGTCACGACCATGTTTCTTCATATGACACAAGTACTGGTTGGTTCCAGGAAGTGGACTCGAAAGTGATTAATATAAGTTGCAAGAACTTGTTGAGCAATTTAGCTCAAAACCGAACAAAAAACATGTATATCTTCTGTACATGTGCCCAGCTTATCTGATGCTTAAATTCAATTCTGGAAAAATATTGAATACAAAATGGGTCATCAGTTTAACACTGTGGAATCTAAAATTATTGTATAGATCATGATGGTAAGAATTACTGCAATTGTTGGCATGGAGAAAAATAATTTAATTAATTACCTTTAGGAACAACAGGGTAGGAGAATCCAATGACATAAATTCCTCTCTCTGAAAGATGAAATCAAAATCAAATATCAATTTCAATATGATAAAATAAACTTCTAAACCTAAAGTTTAAAGAGTCTCACAGGGGCAGGGCAATACATACTCCGACAATTTTTTTTTATGAAGCAACCAAAATAATAGTTCAATTTTTCAAAATCTTTCATAGGAAAAAAACTTTTTTTTATCTCATTTACAAGTGAACATTTAATATAAGCAAAAACAATGTCATAAAATGGATAGTAATACATTTTCTTGCATAAAAACTGTGTGCACAGGCATACATCAATGAAGAAGACATTGCATTAATGGATAGATTCTCGTGAACATGTGCCTTTGTTGCATTTTTTTATATGCCTGATTTAGAGTGTAATGTATAAACAGCTAAATGCAATGACAGTCCTGGTTGTTCTATTATAAAAATATAACTGTCAAATGAAATTGAACAAGCATATAGAAAGCATGGCACAAAAAATGGTTTCTTTGTACAAAATACAAATAACGAAACTGAACATTACCAATTTAGACATATACTTTTATGAAAAATTAAACACTGATGCACTTTTGTTTTTGTGACTTAATACCTGCAGAATACTCAGACTTATTTAATCTCTGAAACTGCTGGTTTCAAATGCATCCTAGTGCTTCTTCAGATGTTAATGCATGAAAAAAAGGATGCATTAATTCTCTATTGAAGTTACCTGTGTATTGACATTGACAGGCCTATGCCATCAGGCACTACACTATGGGCTGCCCAATGTTAACAATTGTAAATGAAAATCCCTAAAACTTCTAATGGACAGTTCTAAATTCCAAACAAGACAAGCCCATGATAAATTCAGCAGAGTTTGGGACTCAAAAAACAAGAGCTGTCACAAGAGACAGCGAAGCTCGACTAATAAAATACTGGACGCAGTAAGGAGGACAAACTATGAAAGAAAAATCAATTATGTATAATTATGTATTAAGTTATAGTAAAAAAATAACATTTTTTAACATAAATTCCAAGATCAAGGGGAATAATTCTAGAAATAGTCATGCTAGAGTTATGGATCTTGCCACATAACATTTGTGTAATGATAAGAAATATATATTTGAAGTTTGAAGTAGATACCTTAAAAAATAAAGAAGTTATTATATTTCTTAAAGAAAATCTTAAGTTCAAATACAGATAAATCTGTAAATATTGCTTCAAGAGTTATGAACATTGTCACATAAAATGTAATTGATGACAAGGAATAAGTATTTGAAGTTTGAGGTAGATACCTTTAAAAATTAAAAAGTTAAAATAAAAAATAACATTTTTCTAGTAAATTCATCTAAGTTTATGGGGAGATAATTCTTGCAATATTGGTGCTAGAGTTATGAACCTTGTCACATAAGATGTGGATGATGATAACGTAAATATATTTGAAGTATGAAGTTGATCCCCTTAGAAATAAATAAGTTAGAGTAAAAAATAATATTTTGTATGGAAAATTCTAAGTTCAAAGGGAGATAAATCTGAAAATATTGGTGATAGAGTGATGAACCTTGTCACATAAGATGGGGATGATGATAACGTAAATATATTTGAAGTATGAGGTTGATACCTTAAGTAATAAAGAAGAAATAGTATTTTTTGCGGAAAATTCTAAGTTCAAGGGGAGATAAATCTGATAATATTGGTGCTAGAGTTATGAACCGTGTCACATAAGATGGGGATGATGATAAGGTACATATATTTGAAGTATGAGGTTGATCCCTTAAGAAATAAAGAAGTATCAGTAAAAAATAGTATTTTTTAAGGAAAATTCTAAGTTCAAGGGGAGATAAATCTGAAAATATTGGTGCTAGAGTTATGAACCTTGTCACATAAGATGAGGATGATGATAAGGTACATATATTTGAAGTATGAGGTTGATCCCTTAAGAAATAAAGAAGTATCAGTAAAAAATAGTATTTTTTAAGGACAATTCTAAGTTCAAGGGGAGATAAATCTGAAAATATTGGTGCTAGAGTTATGAACCTTGTCACATAAGATGTGGTTGATGATAAGGAACATATATTTCAAGTTTGAAGTTGATACCTTAAGAAATGACAAAGTTATAGTGAAAAATATTTTACTGCACCAAAACTTTAATCTAAAATCTGGACGCGGACGCGGACGCCGACGCCGACGCCGGGGCGAGTAGGACAGCTCTCCATATACTTCGTATAGTCGAGCTAAAAATTATGAATAATTATAATTGTTATATCAAAAGTTGTTTTTTTATTACCAAGCATTTGGTCAGCAAACTGGCTGGCAAGCTTGGCATCTCCCAACATTACTGGACAGATTGGGTGTTCTGGATCCCCCTGTAATGAAGAAATGTATTTTAATATACCTAATATGAACAATTTTAATATTTTTGTGTGAAATAAATGACCGTAATGTATTAGCAACAGTACTTGGAAAGACTAAACCTGTATTACAACATAAATATTCTTTGGTATTTGTAAACTTTAATGTTCCCGCAGACCATTGTTGTTTAAATTAAATGAACAGTCACATATATGCTTACAGAAAACTGCAGTGACTATTTGAAGGCCTGTCATGATAATGATACACCAATGATATAGAGACTGGCCATGTAGACTGACAGGCAATATACTGCTGGGTACTATATTATATCATTAATGCCGTGTCTAACGTCATTTACAAAAGCATCTTTATATTCATTATTCCACTTGTAATACGTATGTTTTTTGGAAGATGTACTTGATAGCTCAGTATTAATACCGAATGAGAACGAGATTGGCACATGATTTGAACAGGTATTGAAATCTGTAACATTAAAACTGACAATGTCCTTAAAATTACCCTCTTCCGTCAAAACATAGTCAACTAGACTTTCTCCATTGTGTGTCATACACGTCCGTTTACCGATACTGTTATCGTTATGAAGTCTTCCGTTAACAATACGTATGTTGGTTGATTTACATAAATCAATTAACAATTCTCCAAATCTATTCGCTGTTACGTCACACGTTGCACGAGGGAGGGCCGAGTCAATATCAAATGTATCATCATTTCCTATTATTAGATCGTTATCAATATAATAGTTAGAAAAATACTTACAGAGAGAGCAAAACCAGCGTCTGTCATTTTGGTACGGAATCTCTGCGTGTTAGTCAGTACTTTGTGAGGAAGATCGGGATTTTCTATTATAAGATCAAGAGCCTGAAATAAAGCTTGTTTTGAAAGATATATTGACAATGTATAGGTATTATGGTGCTGTCCTGGCTTATATCACATAGGAAGAACAAAATAATGTTAACCTCCATATTTTATTGAAGACATCACCTGAGAACAACAACAAGTCTAAAATTTCCCAATGAACCCAAAAGAAGTTAAGGGTAAGTAACTTAGTCAGCAAACTTTATTGTTCTGCCACGAAGTTTGTGCAAACATTGCAATATTTTCTTGTAACAATGAAACTGTTCAAAGACTTGAAACTGTTCAAAGACTAACAGAACAACAGAACATAAACTCTATAAAATTTATTTTAGACTTTTAAAAATTCATTATCATACAAAATATAAACATTCAAATACATCAAATATAAGTCACATTCCATTATACATCATAACATAGTCAAAATTGTTAGAAAAGTATATGTTTTTTTATTGCTTAATCTATAATTGTGCAAACACAAACATAGCTGAGTGCAAATTTCCTTTTCACACCTCTATTTTGAAAAATCATTTCATCTTTTCCTAAAATATTCAAAATCACTTAAAGGAATTCCACTGAGCTTTTTTTTTGACATGGCATATTGCTGGAAATAAAAGGGGAAAAAGGACATTTATTGCCAATTTTATTGTTTTTAACATGAATCCTTAAAATATAAAAAGCTTTCAATAAATTAAAGAAAATGCTTGGAGTGATCAAAAAACAGCACAAATAACAAGAACAGTTACTTTTCTCTAAGATTATATGAACCTACCTTACTGGCACATGCAACTACTGGTGGTGGTAAAGAATTAGAGAACAGATAAGGTCGCGACCGTTGTCGTAGTAACGTGACTAGTTCCTTTGGGCCAGCTGTATATCCTCCTGTAAAATCATTCAGTCATAGGCTTGATAAATAACAAACCTGATAATCATTACCTTAAACATATATGGCATTATATGCCGGAACACTTGATCATATGTGCTTAATTTAGTCTATGATTTAAGGTGACTTATATGCCAATGGGGCCGGTTGTTAATTTATTTTATTATGAAAGTATGTTCTTTTTTGTATGTATAACACATGTCATTATAATAAACAATTTATCTATATACACGTAAATTTTGGGAATTTTGTTTCAAGACACCTTTTTTCACAATCATACCATACTGTACACATAAAGCAACAATCATTAAAAAAACTTGCCATGAATTTATCTAAAATAGCATTTCTAAGAGCATTAAATTATTGCCAATATGTGTACTGTATCGTGAGTAACTTTACACAAGTAATTAACTGTACACTATGTAAGGAAATGCATAAAAAGCTATCTTTTACGTATTATTTATATAATCATGACTAAGTTTTATATTCTGGCTAGATGTCAATCCCTAAAGGTAACTTTGAATAATCTAAAGAGTAGTCTCCCTTATCAAAGAAAGGGTTTTTACTGCATGTTTAATATGCTTTATTGGCAATTTTCCAGTAAACAAAGTCAATTAACATAAATTACCTGCAGCTCCACCAACAGCTTTCCCAAGTGTAGAGTTGATGATGTCAACTTTATTGTCCAGGTGGAAATATTCCTCTGTCCCTCTAAAATAAACAAAAATAAATCTTATTTTTACCTGTAACTGACAATACTTAAGAAAGATCAATTAGTCAACTGTATCTCTTAATAAAACAAGATATGTTTGTAAAACATGTATGCCCCCTATTGGCAGCCAATTTGTCATGTGATCAGGTTATTGTGCATGACTTCTGACCCAGTGAACAAGCAATTAATAAGGGTTATCTAGTATCTACTGGTCATGACTAGTCACAAGGTAATAATTATTGTGACCCCATAGGTTGAGTGCAGCAATTAAAGTTATTAAAAATCTTACCAAATAATATATACATAAATTTTATGAATCACATAATTAATGACGTTATATTACATAACACCTTCAAATGTGTATACCAAAAGCACATAAAAATATCAACCAAGGCAACTTGAGTTGTTGAGTTATTGGTCAGAAACGGTCATTAAGTACGAGGTCACTATGACATTGACCCCTTGACCCCAAAATCAATAGGGGTTATCTACTCGTCATGACCAATCATCATACCAAGTTTGAAGTTCCTAGGCCTAAGCGTTCTTTAGTTATTGATCGGAACCCGTTTTTACCTACAAGGTCAATGTGACCTTGACCTTTGACCCCTTGACCCCAAAATCAATAGGGGTTATCTGCTGGTCATGACCAATCATCATACCAAGTTTGAAGTTCCTAGGACTAAGGGTTCTTTAGTTATTGATCGGAAACCGTTTTAACCTACAAGGTCAATGTGACCTTGACCTTTGACCCCAAAATCAATAGGGGTCATCTGCTGGTCATGACCAATCATCATACCAAGTTTGAAATTCCTAGGCCTAAGCGTTCTTTAGTTATTGATCAGAAACCGTTTTTACCTACAAGGTCAATGTGACCTTGACCTTCCCCCTTGACCCTAATATCAATAGGGGTCATCTGCTGGTCAAGACCAATCATCTTACCAAGTTTGAAGTCTCTAGGCCTAAGGGTTCTTTACTTATTGATCAGAAACCGTTTTTACCTACAAGATCAATGTGACCTTGACCTTTGACCCCTAAATCAATAGGGGACATCTGCTAGTCATGACCAATCATCGTACCAAGTTTGAAGTTCCTAGGCCTAAGCGTTCTTTAGTTATTGATCGGAAACCGTTTTTACCTACAAGGTCAATGTGACCTTGACCTTTGACCCCTTGACCCCAAAATCAATAGGGGTCATCTGCTGGTCATGACTAATCATGATACCAAGTTTGAAGTACCTAGGCCTAAGCGTTCTTTATTTATTGATCGGAAACCGTTTTCACCTACAAGGTCAATGTGACCTTGACCTTTGACCCCTTGACCCCAAAATCAATAGGGGTCATCTGATGGTCATGACCAATCATCATACCAAGTTTGAAGTACCTAGGCCTAAGCGTTCTTTAGTTATTGATCGGAAACCGTTTTTACCTAAAAGGTCAATGTGACCTTGACCTTTGACCCCTTGACCCCAAAATCAATAGGGGTCATCTGCTGGTCATGACCAATCACCATACCAAGTTTGAAGTTCCTAGGCCTAAGGGTTCTTTAGTTATTGATCGGAAACTGTTTTTACCTACAAGGTCAATGTGACCTTGACCTTTGACCCCTTGACCCCAAAATCAATAGGGGTCATCTGCTGGTCATGACCAATCACCATATCAAGTTTGAAGTTCCTAGGCCTAAGCGTTCTTTAGTTATTGATCGGAAACCGTTTGAACATACAAGGTCAATGTGACCTTGACCTTTGACCCCTTGACCCCAAAATCAATAGGGGTCATCTACTGGTCATGACCAATCACCATACCAAGTTTGAAGTTCCTAGGCCTAAGGGTTCTTTAGTTATCACTCGGAAACCATTTGGTCTACGGACCGACGGACCGACGGACCGACAGACCGACGGACCGACAAGTGCAAAGCAATATACCCCCTCTTCTTCGAAGTGGGGGCATAATAATCCAGCAACCCTGGTAATATGATTCCAACTAACAGGTGTGAGGTTCATGAAAATAGAATATTAAACTGTTAAAATGTTATCTAAGCATGCCACCAGAGGCAATAAAATCAACAACATGCAAAAACATTAAAATGAAAACATTTATGTCAATTTACTTTACAGTGTGACTTAGTTTGAGTGTTATTCTGTGTTTTACCCAATTCATACTGTGAAACATATTGCGGTACTTATCATAAATTGAGCTAACTGTATGCATACTTGTAGGAAAAGAGAATAAATGCCAAGCATTTTAACCCCTTTGCTATCTATGTATATAAAGAAATCACTTATGTATATAAAGAAATCACAAACTGTTTCTTACACTTATCAAATGTTTGATGCAAATTAAATACATAAGTACAGTTTAGTGCACGTCCTACCTTCATAACTATAATTACAACCGCAGGGTCAGGAATGCGATTTCTTGGCTCAGTGGTTTAGAGCATTGTTACATTTGTTAGTAAGTGGGAAGTTAGTTTAAATCCCAACTATGGCAGGAATTTTTCTGATGCATTTGCATCTGTCAGTTTTGAATTTAAAATATTATTTAAGACATTATATTTGTCTTACCTTCCTGTTTCTCCATAGAATCCTGTTGCATGACATTCATCTATAAACACCATCGCCTTGTACTTCTCTGCTAAATCACAAATCTCTCTGAAAATGTAGTGTATAATTATGATAAAATAGTCAAATAAATATTAAATAGGATATTGAATGAGTGTAAGTTCAATACTAAATTTATTGCACGAGTTGAATAAAATTATTTTTTGCGAGCCTCTGGCGAGCATAATATTATTTTATTCAACAAGTGCAATAAATTCAGTAATGAACTTACACGAATTTAATATTGTATTTATCACATACCAAAAATAGAGACCATTTAAAGTGAAATAAGAGTCATTTTTCATGGACGCGCCTATAGTATAACGCTAACATTTAGCGCGTCTTTACACTATATTTGTATAACGCTAATGACGTCATGTCAAAATATATGCACAGCCGTGCAATACCATATTTACGGAGTCGCAAAATCGGCACGGGTGTGTGATAAAATAAGCTTAAGATAAATGTCCCTTTTGTGTAAGAGAGAGAGTAAAGTTATTTTTTATCTCAGATAACCAAGACATTATGTAAGTTGTACATAAAAAAAAATTTCTATAACAATTTTTTTTTAATGTAGAGGAAAAATGAATAAATTTGAAAATATTTAATTACTTTTACCCTACAGAGAAAAAAAACAACTTAAAAACATTCCCAAAAGTGTTACATGCCAGTGAAACATGAAATATGTTACTTAAAAGTAATATATAGAGGATATTGAATGAGTGTAAGTTCAATACTGAATTTATTGCAGGAGTTGAATAAAATTATATTATGCGAGCCTCTGGCGAGCATAATATTATTTTATTCAACGAGTGCAATAAATTCAGTAATGAACAAGTTTACACGAATTTAATATTCTATTTATCACATACCGAAAATAAAGACCGTTTAAAGTGAAATAAGAGTCATTTTTCATTGACGCGCCTATAGTATAACGCTAACATTTAGCGCGTCTTTACACTTTATCATGCAACTGCTATGGTAACTGCCCGATAACACTTGCCTGATAATTATTTTTGATAGCCTGATATCAAAAATTAGCCCCGCCCATTTTAACGGACTTTTTTCAATTGCTTATATTCGAGCATTTTCATCAGCATGTGAATTCTACAATGTAATCTCATACCCTTACAAGTTTTGAATCAATATGCGAAATTTATTTATTTATTTATTATTTGGATTTCAACAATCGCAACTACTCGGCCCTTTCCATCAGTCTTCGGATAATAGTATGAATACACAGAACAGATGCGGTATTTCGGTCTAACCTACGCTAAGAAACTAAACATGTAAACAAATAGTAATTTAATGCTAGGAGTTGTTGACAAGTTTTTTCCAATATATGTGGTAAAAGTCCACCTTAAATAGGTGAATGCATAGGTACAAAAGCAAACAATACATTATCTATATATTTATTATTATGGTTGTAGAAACCGAAAGCACAAAAAACCAACCTGTTGACATTTAGTCGGATTTGTTTAAAATTGAACATCAGTGGGCATATTTAAATTACAAATTGTTGTATATAGACATATTTTCAAGCATAACAGTACCGGAACAGACATTAGATGTCAAATATATACATTGGTTTTACATTATTTATGTTTCTGTTTACATCTGAAACCACGTGGTAGAACTGCTTTCAATCCGTATTGTTTTCGAGGTTATTATAGATAATAGCCGAGGCAGTTTCAAATGGGATTTCAATTACGAATAAATTAGATAGCGAATAGTTTTAGCACCAACTAAATGAAGTGACGTCATAATTTATATTGCAAATGACATCATCGATGTTCACGTCATACTATACATGTAATCATAACAAACAGGCTGACGATATTCTTTGAGAACTTGTAAATGTTTACTTTATTTCGCCGGATTATTATTTAATAAGTGAACAAATTGTTTCGTTTAAAAAATAAGACGCATGTTTGTGTAGCTTGTGTTTGATTGCCGATTTGACTTTTCTTTGATTGAAATTATCGTGAACTTTTGAATTTGACAATTCAAGACAAAAATTGCAGTAAAGTTTAGTTTATGTGATTCTAAGCGGATTTTTGGATCGATGTTTAAATTAAAGAAAAGAATGTTATCGTATTAGGCCTACATTCTGTTGTATCTTTTGTCCAAGTCGAAAGAAAAAATGGCCGCCAATTACAAATTCTAAGTGTCAGGGGCGGAGGAATTTGTTTTCAAGAATTATTTCTTTGAACAAAAATTCCCCTTTTTAACGAAATTCGCTATTTAAAAGTAGATTATTTTGTTATTTTGACAGTTACTATGTGTTACATGATAAATAGAAAAACATGCTACTGTCTTTTGATATCAATTTTATCAGGCTCGGCTGATATGGGCAGAGAGGGCTTGGCAAGCCTCGCCCTTTCTAGCCCATATCAGCCTCGCCTGATAAAATTGATATCAAAAGACAGTAGCATGTTATTCTCTATATGTTTGTATAACGCTAATGACGTCACGTCAAAATATATGCACGGCCGTGCAATACCATATTTACAGAGTCGCAAAATCGGCACAGGTGTGTGATAAATTGTAATATGGCCTTCTATATTTTATATCTGAAAAAAAAAACCCTCCAAAAATCTCTATTCCTTCTAAAAAATTAATCAGATCACAATGACTAATTAATAGACATCAGGGCACTTATGATAAATGATTATTCTGAGAAAGTTTGATTGATATTTCTTGAGAAATGTAAGTTGAGTTTTGCACAGACTTATTTGCTTATCCCTAGATGCTTGTCGGCCAAAGTTAACCAATCTTATATCTTAAGTTTTCTGTTGAATAAAAACCCTGGTTAAAACAAACCTGCTTACCTAAGTGGGGTAACATTTCCATCCATACTGAACACACCGTCTGTTGCAATCAATCTTCGTCTGCAGGAAGATGCATCCTGTAACTGACTTTCCAACTCTGTAATAGTAAATCACTGATACAGATTTATCAGAAACTTATTTACAGATTAGTTGTATACGCATTATTGCGGCCATTCAGTAAAATATTGCACGAAAATATTCAGTTGAGCCTAATTGTTATAAAGAAGATCTTGAAATATCTTATATATCTAAATGATTGAGATTCACATAAACACACAAAAATCATGAATGTTACTTTAAAGTAGCATTAAATAAATATGTAAAAATATTTTGCCATCGGCCTAAAAACCAAGCATTCTACAGTTTCGTTAATCTTTTTAACAGTATTGTTGTAAATCTCATCAAATATTGTTCATAAATTACAATTTTTAACGGAAAACCCCACGGTAACACTAAAGTTCGTATACGAATTTTAACATGCAAATGAAGACTATAATCAGCTTGTGTATGCGCTACATCACAGTGTTAAAGTTGCTATACGGACACAGCAAATATGAGATTTTCTTGTGCAAACACACTTTAACCGTTTTAGCTTCACGGTGCACTAGGCCTGGCGTTCAGAAAAAAGTAATCATCTCATCAAAAAGATTAAATTTGTATGAAAACATCCGTTACAATGCGGAAATATACCGTTAAATTGGGACTGCTACTTATAGCCATGTTTGTTAATTTAATATTGATGTACTGATGATCTGAAGGCGGAGTTTCACATGCAAACAGAAATTGTACTTCCGATTTCGCCACAATGAGGTTGCAGATTTTATGCTTATAAAACTCATTTTGTTGGAGTCGATGTGAAACCCAATTTATTAATGAAATGTCGCTATTTCTGTTTTTATGAAATTTATTAAATGTAACTTTAACTTATCCTTCAAAGCAACATTTTCTTAATCAACTATTATAAAAATATTTAACAAATATTTAAATCTTTTCTAGTAACTATCCAAATCTGTCTATGAAATACATGTAATATGCTTCAAAACATATGGTGATCAAACATGAAAAAGATTTCTTCCATTATTTCAATTTTCCTCCTTACCTAATCAAACACCAAAATTAACTAAACTAATGTACTGGTAAAAATTAAAATTATTAATTCACATTTCTTTCTATACATCTCTAATGATTCTTTTTCCATTAATGATTCTTTTTCCATCAGAGTTTCATACAAATTTTATTAGTGGTACTATTATTGGTAATACCAAGAACATGAAAATTTATGCGTTAATTTCTTCCCCGCATCTACAATATTATAATGATAAGTAATTAGATATTAACAAGCACCTTTCATATCCATATGTTTATATCTGTAACGTTTGGCCTTACACAGTCTTATACCATCAATGATCGAGGCATGGTTCAACTCATCTGACAACACAGCGTCTTTCTCCGACAATAGCACCTCAAACAATCCCGCATTTGCATCAAAACAACTTATGTACAAAATAGCGTCTTCTTTGCCATGGAACTTTGCAAGCTTCTCTTCTAATTCTTTGTGAATATCCTAAAACAAACAAATTGCATTTATCTTTAGTTTATTTATGGTTCATACATGTACATTGTATATAATTATTTATTCATGATTCTAGAGGTTATTCTTAATTCTTTTTTATTCTTAATTCATATAGTTAATTCTTAATTCATAAAATTTATTCTTGATTCATATAGTAAATTCTTGGTTCATAATTTATAGTTCATTTAATTCTTACTTCATATTGTTTATTCTTGATTTGTGTAGTGTATTCAGATTAAATTATTCTTGGTTCATAGAGTTTATTCTTGATTTATAAATATTATAATTTATTTTTGATTCATTATAGACAGTAAGCCTATGGCTGAATAAATTATGTTTTTGAATGTAAATTTTTTATTCATAATTTAAACTTCATTTTTGATTCATGTTGTTTAATGAAATTACAGAAAATATGATTTGCACACACATGATTTATTTCTGAAAATTACAACCTAATCTACAAATAGGATAAAATAAACTTAGAATTGTGAATATTATAGGAAATAGAATGGTTTTGTACCATAGTACCACAGATAAATCTAACAGAGCTAAGTCCTGCACCATGTGTCTGTAATGCCTTGATTCCTGCTTCAATAACGGCAGGGTGACTCTGTAAAACATTATACATATAAACAAACATATAATATAGATAATTTATTCCTAGGATGTGTGACTTTGTAAACATTATACATATTACCAAACATATAATATAGATAATATTCCTAGGATGTGTGACTTTGTAAACATTATACATATTACCAAACATATAATATAGATAATATTCCTAGGATGTGTGCCTTTGTAAACATTATACATATTTCCAAAACTATAATAATTATAGGTTATACACCTAAGGTCTGTGACTGAGACTGTTAACATTATAAATAATTATCAAACAATGAAATATAATAATTCAAGGAACAATTTAGTTTGTAATCAAAAAGATTCAAATGCATTAGAAAAATCTTATTCTGTTATAATTTAAAGGAAATTAAGGCCATTTGATCAATATATCTATTTCTTCATAATATCTGCCATACTTTAGCTCAAATATGCTTTAAGCTATTTTTTTCCCTCCATTTTTAGACAAGTTTAGGCAACATTTTTTTTAACAAAATTTTTGTTTGAACTTACTGACAATCCAAGGTAGTTGTTGGCACAGAAATTCAATATTTTCTGTGAACTACCTTCAACATTTATTGTGGGCCCTTGTTTTGAGATAATCACTCGCTCATGCTTAAATGTACCAGCATCTCTTATATCTGTCATGTTTAAATGAAACAAATAAAATATAAAATATAATATAATACATAATACATTATCTTATACTGACAGCTTCAGCTTAAAAACAAAAATGTTGTCAAGTCACTAAACACATTATAAATAATCTTTGCGTTACATATATGAACCATAAAAGTTTATTTTTAAAGTTAATGATGCAGATGTTATTAATAAACTGGCTGTCCTATATATACTGACAGTCCTATTTATACAGACTGTCCTATTTATACAGATTGTCCTATCTAAATACTGGCTGTCCTATTTATACTGGCTGTCCTATTTATGCAGACTGTCCTATTTATACAAACAGTCCTATTTATACAGACTGTCCTATTTATACAGACTGTCCTATTTATACTGGTGTCTTATTTATACTGGCTGTCCTATTTATAACTGCTCTCTTATTTATACTGGCTGTCCTATTTATAACTGCTGTCTTATTTATACTGGCTGTCCTATTTATACAGACTGTCCTATTTATACTGGCTGTCCTATTTATACTGGCTGTCCTATTTATACAGATTGTCCTATTTATACTGGCTGTCCAGTATTTTATACTGGCTGTCCTATTTATGCAGACTGTCCTATTATACAAACAGTCCTATTTATACAGACCGTCCTATTTATACAGACTGTCCTATTTATACTGGCTGTCCTATTTATACTGGCTGTCCTATTTATACAGACTGTCATATTTATACTGACTGTCCTATTTATACTGACTGTCCTATTTATACAGACTATCCTATTTATACAGACTGTCCTATTTATACTGACTGTCCTATTTATACTGGTGTCTTATTTATACTGGCTGTCCTATTTATAACTGCTCTCTTATTATACTGGCTGTCCTATTTATAACTGCTGTCTTATTTTTACTGGCTGTCCTATTTATACTGACAGTCCTATTTATACAGACAGTCCTATTTATACAGACTGTCCTATTTATACTGGCTGTACTATTTATACTGACTGTCCTATTTATACAGACTGTCCTATTTATACTGACTGTCCTATTTATACTGACTGTCCTATTTATACAATAACTGATGTCCTATTCATACTGGCTGTCCTATTTATACTGATATTCTATTTATACTGGGTGTCCTATTTATACTGACTGTCCTGTACAATGGAATGCCAGAATACTGGTAACCATCTTAAATTTCTCTCCGGCCTGCAATCTTGTTATAATGACACTAGTCTGGGACTTGAACCCAATATCCCTGGGTATAGAGGAAGTTACCTAGCTTAACCAACAGAGTAACTTATTTCAATTATAGCAATGGAAATTAAACTGCCCAATCAATATGAGATAACAAAGAAAAGAATTTTACATTGACTGCTTACATAAATAAAATTGAAATTCTAAATAAATGGAGTTTAAATTGTTAGAAAAAAATTGGTTTAGAAATTGTAACTTTGAAATGAACTGCAAACCTTAACAGAAAGCAGATATTAGATTATTGACATTCACTCATCAGTGAGGGCAAAGAAACAGAAATAGTCAGATATAAACCGGAAATACATACATCATACTCACTTTGCTTTTGTCTGATAAACAAAATGTTGCTAAATGTCTTTTTCATTTCTTGATTATTGACATGTTAAATGAACATAATGAAAAATACTTTGACAAGCTTGAACAAGAGGCTTAAATTATATATAAAATATTGCTATTTACCATTAAGTTCCTCACTAAGCCCCTGCTTGGTAGCTGCAGCCACTGAAGCTGTTCCTGCATGGTGTGTCAACCATGGACTTCTAACTTTACATCCTGTTACATAAATAGTGCTGAATATATCATTCTATTAATGAATAAATCATTACACACTCCATGACTAATTATTAAAGTTTAAAACCTATTGTATAATATATAATGACTGATAAAATGGGTTATTTTTGAAAATTTTAAGAAGTGAGTACAAATTATACAAGGGTAATTTAGTTTAACCCTATACTAATTAAAATGCATGGCATTATGCCCACCCAAGTGTAACAGTGTACTGGTCTGGGACCATCAACCGGATACTTTTTGAACATTTTTCCGTACAGATTTCATAATTTTTAACCTAGAGACCAACAAATTTGACACAGTTCAGCTATAGGTTCTGAGTCGCTTAACTTGTTTATTTCTGATTGTATAGACACTTATATCTGAGGCTCGACAAGGAGGGTATCAAAATTACCTAAATTGTCTACACTACAGTACCATTTGTCTGGACAGATATCTACATAACGAGATTAAATTCAGATAAAAGCTTGGGTGTTTTGATTTTTGATTTTTAACATGATATACAATATTTCAGCAACAAATGCTGAAGTTTTTCGATATTCTATTGTTTACTCTGCAAATGATTATAGCTGGTATATGAGGTCAGGCATTGCTTTCTTGACCCCGGGCAAGTCCCAACGTATAGACATTAAAATATTACCATTTACGGAGGTTGAAATAAATTAATTTTCTAAATTTGAGAAGAAACATGCATTTACTGTTGATAAAAAAGTAACTGACAACCACTGAACAAAGAAATTACTAAATTAAGCATTTTCTGCCCGGGGACCGTCCGGGTTTGGTGGTTGTCCGGTTTTGGTGGTCCCCAACCAGTATACTGGTAAAAGTCTGACTATTTGTAACACTTTGTAACAGAGGCTGCAGCGGCAGTAAGGTAATTAAGTGACTTACACAATTTAGTTTTATGCTACTTATATGAATATTATGTCTGTTATGTAAATTTCTCAGAGACATAGATAACATATTTATGTCTCTGGAATCTCTATATCATTACATTAAATTAAAATCAATAATGGTTTACTTCTGAATCCAATAATTACGGACCTTAGCCTAAAATCATTGAATGATATCTATTCACATGTCTCAGGTCATAATTTCCAAACAATATTTGTATACATCGCATCAGGGTTTTCCTAAAATACGAAAGTGAGATTTTTGATGAAAGTGAGCGAAAGTGACTTTTAAAATTTGAATTGTACCCTTTTAATAGAATTTTACAGTAAAATTGCTGTTTGTGGACATATATTATTAACAACCAATTATATAATATATTAAAATAAATAACCATAATCATGATTTAATTGCCCTTTATTGGCCTTATTGCTATATACAAGTTCAGCGATCTTTTTTTCGCTTGCATAGAAAAATACGAAAGTGACTTGTAAAGTATTAAATATAGAGTTTAAATTGAAAATGTATTAAATTTGCAGTTTGTAGAGGTATATTATAATATTTCAATTAAACACTACAGTATATTTGAAATTTTAGAAGTCACTTTTGTATTTTCTTTGTGAGCGAATGGAAGATTGCTGAACTTGTATATAAATATCATGTAAACTTGAAATGTGTCCATAGGACACGGGTGCCCCACCGCGCTACTGCTCTGTCAATCTTATGACTCTAGGTCAAATATTTTTTGAAAACTAAAAATCTTTTACTAATTAAAGGGCAAGAACTTTCCACACAGAATAAATCCACAAGCAAACCCAGGGTGCATAAGTACACATGCTGACCAACATTCTTGTAAACTTTCAGGCCTACAAGTGAAATACTTTTTGAGCTATGCATGAACAAGTTGAAAATTGCAAATCTATACTACTGTAAGTCAAGGGCAATAACTCTTACAAAACTGAAAAAAATCGACATGCAAAGTCCCAGGTTCATAGCTTCACAGTGATGTGAATCATTATTCCTGTAATTTAGTGATGTTGATCATTATTCCTGTAAAGTTGATTCTAGCTCAAGTACTCAAGGAACAAATAACAACATAATGAAACAGTTTTACTAAGTCAAGGGAAATAACTCTACAAATACTGGATAAATCCACAAGCGAAACCCCAGGTGCAAAACTAAATATGCTGAGCAACCTTCCCATAAGGTTTAGTGACTCTATGTCAAATCCTTTTTGAGTTACATGCGACACAAGTTGAAAATTGCAAAAATTTTATTAAGTCTAGGGCAATAACTCTGAAAATACTAAATAAATCCAGACGAATATACCCAGCTGCACAACTACACATGCTGATCAACATTCCTGTACAGTGATTTTTCTACTTATATAACAGACTTTGAAAAAAGGCCTCTTCCCAATTGAAATTTTCTTTAAAATCATGCAGTTTTCCCAAAAATCTGAACTTAAACCAGCTTTTTTACTTCCCAAATCAGCAATTAATGCGATAATTTTTCCCAAAATCAAGAGGCTAAGGCCTCTTCCCAATTAAGCGAGAAAAATCACTGCTGTAAAGTTTCATGACTCTAGGTCAAATACTTTTTGAGTTACATGCGACATAAGTTGAAAAATGCAAAATTTTACAAAGTCAAGGGCAATAACTCTAAAAATCCTAAAAATATCCATGACTCTCGGTCAAATACTTTTTGAGTTACGTGTGACACAAAAGAGAACGGACGGATGGAAGGACTGACGGACGTATGGACAAGGGTAAATCTAAATGCCCGCCACTAAAGTTGGGGCACAAAAATGGGGTTAAAATAATTTTTCATCATAATGATTATTTTTGAAAGTAAATAATATTAATTTTTGATAATATACGCCTGTAAATGCAATATTAGTATAACTATCAATTCAACCCTTTATTTCATATTTTACAAGTCACTTTCGAATTTTTCAATGTGAGCAAAAGCCGAATCTAAGGAAGATTTCAGAACTTGTGTATAGAAATTATGCAAACAAATGGTGATTAAACCATCAAAATGATTATTTTTGAAAATAAATATTATATATTTCTGATAATATACGTCTACAAACAGAAAATTCACTGTAAAATTCTATTTAAACCAGGGTACAATTCAAATTTTGAAAGTCACTTTCACTCACTTTCGTCAAAATTTAGTATTTTAGGCAAACCGCATCAAAAGTTATAATGTCTACTATATTGTTGGTACAAATAAACTAGCTATATAGAGTATTGGGAAAACAATAATAAGTGATAACTGTATGATTTTTAAAGAAACCCAACTTAAATTTTTTTTTATTACAGTCAAAATTTCATCAATAAATGAATAAAAGTATACGGTATTTATGTAATAAGCTAAAATCGCTTTGCTACACTATCAATGCAATTGTAATAGCAGAAAGGGCAAAATCGCATTATGAAATGTGACAGCTTGGACTGTGTTGTCATTTTTTGCAGAGCGATTGCGAACATTTTATAATCGACCTTGGACACAATCATTAACGAATATTTTTCTTTCAATACATGAATGATATTTGTGAACATAAAAGTTAAAAAAGAATTATGAACCAACCATGCTTTGACAATTTTCGTGGAAAATGGAACAGACTTCGATACATGGCTGACACGCTTCGCTGGCTACTTTCGTTTTAGTCGGAACACCTTTAATATCTTCCTCTGTAAAATACCGAAAAAGGTAAACATCAAATCAATCCAAATATGGAGGTGTGTCATCTCAACCAATCAAAACAGCCCTATCCGAATAATTTCATTGACGAACAACATTAGTTCGTGATTTAGACCGTGCCCAAGAAAGTAAACAATATGGAGGAACACATAGAAATTTTCAAGAAATTTCTTGAAAATACAGACGAAGAATTGAAACTTGACATGCAATATGCATTAGAAGATTATGAAACTGGAAAAAACTTCATGTTCTTAAGATGCCTGAGTGTGATAGCAGTCGATGCTGAAACAGATATTATTTTTAGCCAAGCAACATGCAAAGTTGAAGCAATAGCTATTTATTTTATTAACTATAACAATTTTTAACATCCAGATGCTGGAAGTATTTTAAAATAGTTTTGGCTAAAAGATTTTACTTTTAGTTGGACCTTTCTTAAAAAAAATGATAGAAATATTGTTACAGTCATGTCATGGTGGCTCACAGTTGCCGTCCACAAACTTTAACCTTGATCATAACTTTTTAAGTTATTGGTGTTTTGTCTTCGTACTTCGCCACGATGTTCAACCCTTGGGACAAGAACTACGAGTACACCCAACTAACCTTGGCCTTCATTCATAAATGACCTTTACCTTTAAGGTTAAATATGTCTAACTGTAACAGGCTATAGCTTTGTTATTATTGGATGGATTGACTTCATATTATAACAGAGCACTCTTTAGGATAAGACCTCCATGTATATCAAACTCAAATTGACCTTGACTCATACATGTATGACCTTGACCTTGAAGGTTAAATTATTGAATTTTTACTGATTTTTGCTATAATCAGAGACATAGATAACAGAGATATAAAGCAGCTCCTATATACTCCATTGAAATATCAGTCATGCCTATAAAAAAAGTGAAAAACTTGACATTTTGTAGCAAATAAACTTAATGGATGTACATTTGATCCTTTAACATTATATACCATTTGAAAGGTAAATCTTTTATCTATTGCTGCATGTTAAAATATTGGTAACTTTCCATGCCTTTCACTTAAAAAACATAGCAGAACATACCTACTGAGCCAGTTTTTTCGTCATATGAATAGTTTTGTAACAAATATTATTAAGTAGTTCTCTTTAAAAATTGATTTATCATTTATTTAAATGGGAACTGTAAATATTTTTACCTGCAGCCATAGACAAATGCATAAGCTTTCAGAAAATGTATAATTTTCCTGATTTTGATATCTGATTAATAAGTTTTACTTGCTACAAGTTTTAAGTTTAGCAGGCATGCATGATATTTTAACTGGTTAGGAAGTTGCCTATCTCTGTTATCTATGTCTCTGCTATAATTGACTGTAACTTGGTAATTAATTATAATGGATTATTTTCATACTTTGACAAAACATTTTGGACAAGAGCTTTTAAAAGGTTAAACTGACCTTAAGCTTTAAATGACCTTGACTGTCAAGGTCAAATTATGAAATTTGGTTAAATTGTCATAATTTTGTAATTGATGTACCGATTTGATTTAAACTCGGACCAAACAAGACTTGCTACCAAACAAACTTATTAAATAATTTAGATGTGACCTTGACCCTAAGTAGACCTTGACTGTCAATGTCAAATTAGTGAAATTGTTTTTTTTTTCAACTGGCTAGAACTTTGTTATTTATAAATGGATTAACTTTAAACTTAAACACAACATCTTTTAGGTAAGGACCTTCATGCATATAAAACTCAATTTGAACTTGACTCATGTATGACCTTAACCTTGAAGTTCAAATTATTGAATTTTGCTTGATTTTTGCCGTTATTGGCTATAATTTTTTATGACTGGATTGCTCTTCTACTTGAACATACTTTAGGACAATGTTTTAATGCACCTGCATAATTTAGGTCAATAATGCAAGGTCAAGGTCACTAGAGTTGATGAAATGCTAGATTTTGTTCAGAGCATATCTTGAACATGCATGGATGGATTTTAGTAATTTTACTTGATGCAGATTTTCAACAGGTCTATAGGTCAAAGTTCAAAGTCATAGAGAATTAATTACCAGCATAATCCAGGCCAATATTAAAGGTCAAGGTCATTGGAGAAGATTGAATGTAATGATTTTGTTCAGACTGTATCTTGGACATTCTTGGATCAGGGATCTAAGAATTATACTTGAAATGGATCATTGTTTTTCCATCATGAAACACAAGAACCAGTTGTCTTGGTCAGAGGTCAAGGTCAAACTGAGAGGTCAGGGTTTTGTGTGCAAGATCAATTTCCAGATTATGTCATGTGTGAAGATATGTGCTTGAAACCTGGCATGTCTTGATTATATATGTAATTATATTTCCCGTCCTAAGGCCCATAAATGTCTAATTATAGACCTTAAAAAAGTTCTTGTTAGATTTTTGTGAGCAAGATCAGATTTTACCCCTATTTGATATTGAAATAAAATTTATATATATATCTTCAAGATTGTAATTGTTGGTTTCAACTTTAGCTTTAGTTTTTTTGACTCTCTAAACTTCTTCATTATACCCCCACAAATGAAGTTTAGGGAGGGTATATAGGAGTCAGCTTGTCGGTCGGTCCGTCGGTCGGTCCATATCATGGTTTCCAGACGATAACTAGAGTTTGGAATGAGGTATTGTAATCAAACTTGGTGTATAGCAAGCTTATATGAAGACCTGGCTTGGTATTGCATTTGGACCCCCTGGGGTCAAGGTCAAGGTCACCGTTACTAAAAATAGAAAAATGGTTTCCGGACAATAACTAGAGTTAGGAATGAGATATTGTTATCAAACTTGGTGATAGCAAGCTTATATGAAGACCTTGGTTGGTATTGCATTTGGACCCCCTTGGGTCAAGGTCAAGGTCACTGTTACAAAAAATAGAAAAATGGTTTCCGGACAATAACTAGAGTTAGGAATGAGATATTGTTATCAAACTTGGCGTATAGAAAGGTTATATGAAGACCTGGGTTGGTATTGCATTTGGACCCCCTGGGGTCAAGGTCAAGGTCACCGTTACTAAAAATAGAAAAATGGTTCCGGACAATAACTAGAGTTAGGAATGAGATATTGTTATCAAACTTGGTGTATAGCAAGCTTACATGAAGACCTGGGTTGGTATTGCATTTGGACCCCCTTGGGTCAAGGTCACCGTTGCTAAAAATAGAAAAATGGTTTCCGGACAATAACTAGAGTTAGGAATGAGATATTGTTATCAAACTTGGTGTATAGCAAGCTTATATGAAGATCTGGCTTGGTATTGCATTTGGACCCCCTGGGGTCAAGGTCACCGTTATTTAATGGTTTCCGGACAATAACTACAGTTAGGAATTAGATATTGTTAGCAAACTTAAATAAAGACCTGGGTTGGTATTGCATTTGGACCCCCCTGGGGTCAAGGTCAAGGTCACTGTTACTAAAAATAGAAAATCTACGGACAATAACTAGAGTTAGGAATGAGATATTGTTATCAAACTTGGGTATAGCAAGCTGATATGAAGACTTGGGTTGGTATTGCATTTGGGCCCACTGGGGTCAAGGTCACTGTTACTAAAAATAGAAAAATGGTTTTCTGACAATAACTTGAGTTAGGAATGAGATTTTGTAATCAAAAATGGTGTATAGCAAGCTTATATGAAGACCTGGGTTGGTATTGCATTTGGACCCCCTAGGGTCAAGGTCACCGTTACAGTGTTACTAAAAATAGAAAAATGGTTTCCGGACAATAACTAGAGTTTGGAATGAGATATTGTAATCAAACTTTTTGTATAGCAAGCTTATTTAGAGACCCCAGTTGGGATTAAAATTAATTGAAATATTTCTTTGTACACATTTGATAGTATGTGTTCAAATTTTTCTTCAGACTTCTTATTTTTCAAAAAGTCAAAGTTGCTGGTGGGGGTATTAATCACCTTCAGTGATAGGTCTAGTTGATTTTGAAGTAAATTTGATCTTTTGTGAATTCCTACAAAATTCAGGCTCATGTTTTACTGTAAAGCAATGAGAATTAATGAACCTGCTGACCTATTGTAACTAGCAGCTCTTTTTGCAAAACCTAGGTTTTATCATCTATTTTTAAACTTTGGCATTTTTATATTTTTCTGCCATTTCTTGCAATGTTTTATCTAACCTCTACAAAATGATTTGTGCCACTTATAATTATGAAAACTTCTGCAATTGGACACTGATGAGATATTAAGGGCCATGTTGACCTTCTTTCAATCATAAGTATATACATGTACAAATGATTATAAATAGTATATGCTATATCTTTGTTCTTCATTCATTATTTACAAGTATTTAGAAGATTATTGTAATGTAGCATGCAATTAATTGATATTGCATTATATATTAATTTTCTATTTTTAGATCATTCTATATTGTTGAAGAAAGCGGAGAAAGAATGTGATGCTACTTTAGCTATAAGATATGCAGAACATTTACTGATGCCTCTTGTTGATGAGAAGAAATATGTAATAGATACATACCCAGGAATACAGTCAGTAAAATGTTGTGATGTAGAACACCCTTTATCTGGAAAGTGTGGAGATACTTCATTTGGTTAAGTGTTGAAGTTTGGTATGTGGCATTCATGGTTCTTGTTAATTCACAGTTTCCTTAATCTGCTTACATGTATATGGTAGTGGACTTGACCAAACCTCACAGGTATAGACCTAATGCTGCACTTGCTTCTATAAAAGTTATATTTTATGGTTCCAGACTGATGTTTGAATTGGTCACACAAGCTTAGGCTTTAACCTGCTGAATATATATAATTGACTTGTCCAGTTTCCAACATTGCACCTGTTTATTAGCAATTTTAGGGATATCAAGGTGAATATTGAAAGTTGATCAACCAAAAGTAAACAACCTGGTTAGACTTACTAGTCTTGGTCTTTGATGGCAAACGCTTATTACTTTTAGATCTAGCAGGGTAAATGTTAAAAGTGAAATATTTAAAAGTCTCCTACTTGTAAATCATTACAATGTCCTGAGAGTAGAAATTTGGTATGTAGCACTATGCATTACTTTATGGTTCTCTGAAGTTCTATAAACATGCTATGAGATAAATGAGATTTATATGTCACATAATTCTATGTGTGTGAAACTACATGTCCAGGACTTATGATATTTCAAGATATTTGCATTTAGCATTGCCTAGTGATAAATCTTATCATGGGGTAAAATTGGCACTATTACTGTCAGATTAACTTTTAGCTCTACTATAAGAAGAATGGTAAGGATAATTCCTACTCACCTGTGCCTCATTCTTGGAAAAGTTTTATGTTAGAATATCATATCTCATCATCTTCACACACATATTTGAAAATATAATATGAGTTCACTATCCAAGGCCTATAACTCTAGCATGCATTTTGACAACAAAATTATGACACATTGTAAACTTTACAAAGACTTGATTCTGCGAAACATTTTTAAATATGCTTGTATGAAACCAAATGACATTGAGATAGATATTTGTCATGCTGCTTTTCTAATTTAGTGATCTCTGCAATGAATCTCAGGTGTACAATCCATCATTACCTCTTGTTGTCTTTTACCACTGATTTCATGCAAGAAAGTATAAATGATTTAACAGGTATTCTTAGAATGAAATAATAATTTTGACTTTATTATTTTAGGTTTGCAGGATGGATGGCATGGAAAGGTGGACATTCTTATATGTGATGCTGAAGATAGGCTACCTGTCTTTATTGCAGAGTCAACCGACGATGATGTTTCAATGTCTGATATTGAAGAAAGATCATGTGAAAAATCATCTGGTGATGCTTACGCTCAGATGATAGCGAAAACATTTGTTTTTTCATTTTTACAACATAAACAGAATTCAGGAAAATTGCGAAATTCTTTGATTCCTAGTATAGGAATAATTGGTGAAAAGTTCATTGCGTTTATGTATGACTGTGAGAATAATGTTCTCCTGGGAAGTTGTGTATTAAGCCTGTTTTATAAAGGGTCTATTGATGTAAGAAGTGTAATTTTTCTCTGGTTGGTTCTAAATTACAGATTGTTTTGCAGTGGACTAATTGATGATTTTAAAAGTTTTAAGTCAGAGTTTCACACATTAATTGGTGATGAATACCTCAAGCAATACAGAAATGAAGTAACCATGCCTTGTCATGAAAAATCCAGCCGAAAAAAAAAAGAGCTTATGACCCAAGCATATCTGAAAATCCTCCGGCAGTTAGAAAGAGGGTAAATAGAGCCCAATATCCTGTAATTCCAGCTTTGAAAATTTATGGGGAAGATTGCAGTTAATAAATAACAGCAGTAGATGATGTGAAAACAGCACTGAGGATTTTTTTTTTCAACATTACTGCTGATTGATGAGGTTAATATTGCTGTTCTGAAAATTGTATATGCTTTAGAATAGGCCAAGAAATGTAGATTACTGCAAGTCACTTGATCTGGCATGGGTAAATATATTCCTTCAAAGCTTAAATTTAAGATCTTCAGTCAGAAACTGCATGACTTGGGATTTAAATATTTCACAAAGGGTTTCTTCTAGGAGTTCCCTGCTCATTTGGGAAATGTAATTCATTGCAAGGACCTCGACAACTTTGGTTCTATAAAGTCTAAGTGGGAGTTTGGCATCTGGTTATACATTCTGTATTGCTTGGAAGAAAGTGATGGTAATATAAATGTAATTTGTTCTATTTTTAGATGATAAAGTACAGTCACAGAGAAAATGAGTAAATCGTATGGGTCACATTATTTGCTTAAGTTCTGAGCATTTAATTTTATAGTGCTTGTCAGAAATTGATGAAATAAAATTTAAAATTGAAACTGAAGATAGTTGTTATTTTGCATCATTAAATATTTTCTGTTATTTATGAACGGATTGTCTATCTTTTGAACATAACCTTGAAGAAGACCAATGAAAAGTCAGTGTTTGCTTTGCAAGTCATTGGTCGTAAGAGGAAGTCATTGGTTGCTGTAGAAGTCTATGGTTGCTATGGAAAGTCACTAGTTGCTAGTGGTTATGAAAGTCACTGGTTGCTATGGATATATTTGTGGTTGCTTTGGAAATCAATGGTTGCAATATTAGTCATTGGTTTGCTATGGAAAGTCACTGGTTGATATGAGAAAGTCAAAGTTGATATGGCAAGTCTTTGGGTGCTAAGGAAGTTGCTTTGAAAAGTCAATAGATGCTATGCGTGTCACTGGTTGCTATGGAAAGTCACTGGTTGCTATGGAATTAAATGGTTGCTATGAAAAGTCAAGGGTTGCAAAAATGGTCACTGGTTGCTATGGTCCTATGGAAAGACAAAGACTGCTATGAAAGGTAAATGGTTGCTATGGAAAGTCAATTGTTGCTATGGAAAACAGTGGTTGCTATGCTTTTCAAAGGTTGTTATGGAAAGTCACTGGTCGCTATGGAAATAAATGGTTGCTATGGAAAGACAAAGGTTGCTATGAAGAGTAAATGGCTGCTATTGAAAGCCAGTGGTTGCAATGTGTGCCACTGGTTTCATATGGAAAGTCACTTTTTGTTATGGAAATAAGTGATTGCTATTGAAAGTCAATGGTTGCAATATTGGTCATTGCTTGCTATGGAAAGTCACTGGCTGCAACGGAGAGAGAGGTTGCTATGGAAAGTAAATGGCTGCTATGGAAGGTCAATGGTTGATATGGTTAGTCTTTGGGTGCTAAGGGAGTCTATTGTTTTTTATTGAAAGTCGATGGTGGCTATGGAAAGTAAATGGTTGCTATTGAAAGTTTGTGGTTGCTTTGGAAATCAATAATTGCTATGGAAAGTGAATTGGTGAGATATTGGTCACTGGTTACTATGGAAAGTCAGTGGTTGCTATGGAAAGTCAATGGTTGATAATTATGGCAAGTCTTTGGGTGCTAAGGAAGTCCATTGTTGCTATGGAAAGTCAGTGTTTGCTATGGGAAGTCAGTGGTTGCTATGGAAAATATGGTTGCTATTGAAAGTCAATGGTTGCAATATTGGTCACTGGTCGCTACTAAAAGTCCCTGTTGCTATGGAAAGTCAATGGTTGATATGGCAAGTCTTTGGGTGCTAAGGAAGTATATCATTGCTATGGAAAGTCAGTGGTTGCTATGCGTGTCACTGGTTGCTATGGAAATAAATGGTTGCTATGGAAAGTCAATGGTTGCAATATTGGTCATAAATTGCTACAGAAAATCACTGGTTGCTAAGGAAAGGCAAAGGTTGATATGACAATGCTTTGAATGCTAAGGACACTGGATGCTATGGAAAGTCACTAGTTGCTATGGAAAGTCACTGATTGCTATGGAAAGAAAGTGGTTGCAGTGAAAGTCAACAATTGCCATGGGGTCAGTGGTTGCAATATATATCACTGGTTGCTACAGAAAGTCAATGGTTGCCATGGAAAGAAACTAGAACTTTGCTTTTGAAAATCACTGGTTGTTTAAGAGGTCTATGGTTGCCATTGAAAGTCAGTGGTTGCTATGGAAAGTCAATGATTGCTTTGAAAGTCATTGGTTACAATGAAAAGTCACTTTTGTTAATTTGTTGTTTTTACTCTTCCCAATAGATTTCCACAAAATAGGAATTGCCTCTCCATGTTCAAAGCAAAACTTCATTCAAAGCAAAACAGAAGAATCGGTTGTAAATTGATTGGCCATTTTCAGACGGCTTCTGATTGGTTGATGCAGCAAGTTACATGTATTTCAACACTTAGAAAAAAAACCAATCTGAAATAACATTTATGGTTTAATTCAATTAAAGTTATTCATCAGTCTGTTACACATTACATATACAATCCTATGTGCTATATATATACATTTAGATTGTAGACATTAAAATAACCATTCATTTTTGTGGTTTTTGTGCAAAATATATATAGTCCCATGTGTTTTTACATTTTGATTCATGATACTGGGTTGCTGCATCTTTGTCATGCATTAATATCCCCAGAAGCACAAGGCTATTAATACTTTGCGGAATGGAATGAAACACAACAAACATTGGAACACCACACAATTAAGGCACAGCATTTTTTTACTATTATGTTTCCTAAATGAATGTTTCACACTTGTTGCAGTTATTTAATATTTATTATTTATAAAAATGGAAAAATGAGAAGAAAAAAATGAGTTGACAATCTAAATATTTTTTTGGCAATGTCAGACCTCTTTTATATCAGAGACTTTTCTTATAGCTCTGTGTTAATATCATATGCCGTAATATTCAGTACACTCCTTATAAATTATATAAAATTCTACAAAAAATATTAATAATCATCGTAAATAAATTTAATTTAAAACATGTTTGTTAAATATGATTTGAAATTACACATTCACTAATAACTCTGACAGTCGGTCCATCTATCCTTAATTTTTTAAATATTAACCTATATCGTTCATGTTTTAGACATGGTTGTAAAAAGGCGCTCATTATGAATAAAGTAAACAAAAACGATATATTCAGGATTTTAGGTTTGACACCTTTAACAAAGTTGTCAGAAGGTAAACTATAATTTGTTGAATGATATGAAGTATCTATAATGTCACTTTCTTACCTGTTTTAAAAAATCACATAACAGTTCTATTTGCAATATGATTTCGCGATGTATGATAGAGTCCTATAACATTAGACGTTTCCGTTTGTACTATGTACACTCCAACGTCTTATCGACTTCTTCATAAGTTCCTTTAGCAAAACGCGCAGCGATTTTGAAGCGCTATATAAATCGTCGTAATTTACTACAAAAACAATATTTTGAGTCAAAAGATATGCAGACAGTAAACGTAACATTTTTGCATCAATGTGCAGCAAAAAAAAATAAATGAGTCACCTTCGGCTTCGAATGTAAATAAATCCAATCCAATACATAGAGAATACCATGCTAGTGTCTGATATTATAAAATTTATCAGGCAAGGCTAAGAAAAAAAAGAAGGGCGAGGCTCTGCCGAGCTCTTCATTTTTTTTCGTGCCGAGCCTGATAAATTTTATAATATTAGACACTTGTTTGGTATTCTATTTATCATGTTTTCAATTTCAATTGTTGTTTTATTTTAATTGAAGCAAAACCCTATCCAGAACCTATTCAGACGGCGCGCAATAATATGTGAAATGTCAAATCAAAAAGAAATAGTCCCAAATGTTTTAGTTAATTGTAAGTGACGCGTTCATATTCAAAATTTCTATTTGATTCAAAGTTTATCAGTTAAATATTTCCAACCCAGTAGCAGGAAAATATATTCCATTCTTTTTATTTCATTTCGCAAATTTCGCATATTTTTGATGAGGTGTCTGATAAAGCTTGGGGTGACTGATAAAGCTAGGTTTATCAGGCATGCACTTTATCAACAGAAATCAATGTAATGACATGATAAAATTTATACCACTTTCACCGCTATATACATTTGGCCATGTTACCTGTTTACATGTGGGCGCGTTTTGCTAAAGGAACTTATGAAGAAGTCGATAAGACGTTGGAGTGTACGTAGTACTAGCGGAAACGTCTAATGTTATAGGACTAAACTTTGACACAATTTGTAAATTTGTTATATAAAAATGAGTTCTTTTAACTGTTTAACTGTTTGTTTTGTTCCTTTTTAGGTATGCTCACTTTTTTTATCTGAAATAATATAATATTAGGAATATCTTAATGATTTTATTTAAAATGAATTTTAGCATGAGCAATATGAATCATTCCAATAAACAGATGAAATTGTGTCATTTTTTGAAATTTTGTATACATGTCCAGTTTGTGAATGTTAGATGAGGTGGGATTATCAAATATGTATTGAGAATAAATATGTAAATGTATTATCATTATAGTTTTGCATGTCAGTAGCAGTGTCTATTCTAGGAGTGGGGATGGGGGGATTCACTCATATTTTTTTAGAATTCCCCCTTATATTTTCAGAGGCAGGGGGGAGGGGGGATTTTATCATAGAGAAAGAAGGAAAAAGATCAACTACATTTATAAATTCTCACCTTTCAATAAAAATCCACCGTTCTTCGAATCCTTAGACCTAGAATAGACACTGCAGTAGTTGAATACATACGTAGTTGACACTTAAAAATTCCCTACTTACTGATCCTTTATTTATGGGACTGTGACCAGAAACAAGCCTTTATTTTTTGAACTTGTAATTTTTAATATGTTATTACAAATTGCAGAATGGGTGACATCTGTATTTGACTCAAACTTCGTAGATGCTGAAGATATTGATGAAGAAGTATTTCAAGATACAGATCATAGTACACTGGTTGATGCATTAAAAAGTCTTTTACCATGTCTCGACCTCTGGATTGAAAACGAATCAGAGGAATGTAAGTATTTTTCTGTCTGAAAGAGTAAACCCTGTAATCAGGGTGTTTGGTTTATACAGAATTTATTTTAGTTAGATTTTCGAATCTGTTCCTTGAACCAACCTGAACCAGTACTGCGTAATGAGTGTAAAGTTTCTTGCTCATGGAAACAATGACCTGCCCTTGACGGGGTATGAACCCATGCAGCTAGCAATCATTATATTACTAGTCCGACATGTTAACCGCTTGGCCATGCCGCCACAACCTGGCGCCAAAGCAGGGTGTTTTAAGGCAGATTTAACAGCCTATATAGATTCATGTTGTCTATTTTAAAGGTTTTTTTTTTCAGTATTCTTAACAAAATTTCCACATTCATACAGTTGTGCCTTAGATGTATACTGTTTTTCTCAAGGCTTTTACTTATTAGAAGAGAAAATGTTGTATTCAATGCTTTATATTACCTGTATCTAATATAAGTCATTTTAAACCATGAGTTTAAAGAACATTGAACAGTCAGTTTGATATTACTCATATTATATTTTAAGGTTTGTGGGTATGCCTGACAGAGAATGATATATCATTGAAGGCAATTGTAGTGTTTTTGGCTCACCTGATTATTGTTGGTCACAAGGTAACTATATAATAAACTCTTGTAATATTTGTTGTTTTATTGCATTTAGAGCTCTTGATATTAAATATAGAAATTATTCAATATAAAATGATATTTTTTGTATTGAATCAATGGTCCACATGCTAATATCTCAAAGGGAATTGGATTGGATTTGTAAACGATGGGTCACTCAGTGGTGTGATCCTTTGGCAAAACGATACAGTTTACCAGTTAATTACAATATATACAGTGAAGTTAATATCAATAATGGAACTCAGAGAACATTAACTCTTAAATAACTCTTGCATGGATTTTTACAATAATAGTTTGGCTTTACACTAAAAGTTAAAAATTATAATTTGGTTTTAAAGAAACAGTGTACTTGTATTTACAGAAATCAGCAGATGTATCACAGAAAGAGTTGGGTATCCTAGCAGGACGTACATATTGTAAACTGTCACAAGTACAGGGAAGCTGGTCCTACTTCATTTTTCAACTTGAAGTCTTTCAGAAAACTATAGATTACCTGAAACAGTTTATTGTCCTTGGTAACCAATTTATTATTTTATTATATGAGTGGCGTCACGACAAAATCAACAGTTGAGGAACTGATTTGCGACCAGCATGGATCCAGACCAGCCTGCGCATCCACGCAGTCTGATTAGGATCCATGCCTGTTCGCTATCAGTTCCTCAACTTATAATAGGGTTGGTAAGCGAACAGCATGGATCCTGATCAGACTGCGCGGATGCGATGCAATGTAAATTATTCTTTGTAATGGATGAAAATGTAAACAAATTCCATTATGTAAAACAATATGGGTGAAATTTATCAATTTCAAGGGCCAGTGAATCTTGTGCAAAGGATTTGGGTCAGGATTTGAAAATTTTCTATTTTTGGAGCTTCTTATCCCGCTCAGAGATTGAAAATATCATTTGTTCGCTGGTAATTACAAGAAGAATTTAAGTGAACTTGATGCAGGACGAGTAGAAAAAAGTTGCCTGCATATTGGATTTAGAAGTTACTTGTCCTGCAAGACGAGTGACTGAAAATACTTTTCGATGCCTGCCTCTGTAATAAAAGTCTTTCCTCAGGCTTGAGCAGTGCATCAGCATGCAATACTGTTTGTCTATCCTTTATAAGGACGAAGATTAGGAAGTGTTATTAACTTTTACCCCCATGTATGTTTGTTTAATATCAGGTTCATCCAAGTCAACTAAGAGGAAGAGAAAAAGTTTAACACCTGCTAAAGGAAAGAGAAGTTCAAAATCTAGACACAAACAGAAAAGTACTGATACATCCATTGAGGTAATGAGTGTTTACTTATTGTTGTAACTGTGAATTCGATTAATATTTTGGGTCAAATTTTTAATACCGTATAAGTGTTTTTTTCTTGCGGTGACTTTATTTCTGCATATTCTGCGCGGTCAGTTTCAGCACTGCAGAAATAAAAAGCGCAGAATATTTTTCTCCATGTTTTAGATTTTAACCTGTTACAGGGTTCGTACAGTCTTAAAAAGTGCTTAAATTTCAGTCCCTTTCTTAAAAAGTGCTTAAAAATGATAAAAAGTGCTTAAAAGTCCTTGAATTTGATTACTCTCTTGAAAAGTGCTTAAAAAGTGCTTAAATTGGCTACAAATGTGCTTGAAATTATTGAACGCCAGACTAGTGTCGGTAAAAATCAACAAATAAAAAAAACACAAAAAACAAAACCGATCTTGTTCAGTACCAAAATCAATGAATTTTGTAATGTTTGCTCAATGTAACAGGCACATATTGCAATTGATTTGAACTTCACTTCAACCCCTCTATAATGCTCATGTTTTGTTCCAAGGTCTCAACACAGCATTTAGCAAGATTCTGATATGTAACTCTCATCGCAAGATCACCACATTACCCCACCCACTGCAATTATGTATAATTCAATGATTATTGACATTATTTTTGTAAAGCAATTTAATAATGTAGATATATATAATATTGTGATGTTGTAGTACTTATATTTAAAAGAAACAGAAAACCTACGAAAGAAAAACATAACTCACAAATGGAAACAGTTAGCCATTACAAGTGTAGTGAAAGCTTCCAGCATTAGTTGTGCCCATAAGTTAATCAAACACCATTTATCTCCATCAGTAAAAAGTGTAGGCTTTTTGATTGATTTTGGGCTTGTGTATGATTAACATAATTCAGCAATGTTTGCATGTCACAGCTACAGTATGAATTTGAGATCTTTTTGTAACAATATGATGCCTGACTGATTGACAGGTAAAACAACAAAAGAGCGGATCAATGATTACCTGTGCTCTTTTCACACCTTTTCTGCTTATAAGCACAGTTATCAAACTACATGAAAAAAATAATCATCAAAAATAATATTCTTTTTTTTGGGGGGGGGGGGGAGCGTGATATTTTGAAGTTAGGGTTTTAACAGGGGGCCATACAACAGGGTGTCAATTAAGTTTGTATTTGTTGCTATCTTTGTTTTTATTCTATAGAAACTGTAGCCAGAAAATGTATTTTCAACAAGAAATGACTTATAAATTAATATTGGTTAAAGTAAACATTGTGTAGGATATAGACGCAACTAATTGTGCTTGAAAAATGAAAAAACATGCTTAAAAAGCGCTTAAAAAGTCCTTGAATTTTGATACTGGATGTCTGTACGAACCCTGTGTTATGATATGTGTCCTACATTACCTGTGCCTTCCAAAGTAATAACGAATAACAGATTATAACAGTTGACAGGTCATTGAGCTGTATAAGACTGCTGTTGGCTTAGTATATTATAATCTGTGTTTGTAAGGATGCACTTTTGTTAATTATGTCAATTTATGAATAAAGATATTTTTCACAGTCATGTCATTTTTCACTTCCGATGAATACTTTTCTATTGTGATATATTCCCGCAAAATGCACTTACTGCTTACAGCCCATAGATTAAAGCTGTAAAATTGAGCCTAAAGCTCGACTTTATTGTAGTTCCATCATGACCACAGCGTAATTTTATGATAAGATGAGTCGGAGAATTTAAATTATGTTTTGTCTATTATAAAGAATGTGCTGCAGAAATAAAAATATTACAAAATTTGGAAAAGTTGGAGCCAGAGGCTTGCATAATATGATTTTATTCAACTTGTTCAGTAAATTTAGTATTAAACCTACACTCATTTAATATCTTCTATATATTACAGATGATTTTAAATCATTTTTAACTATATTATGACAGGATTTTGATGGCAGTCTGGATGCAGACAGCAGAGATGAGGATAATGAATTGGCACCGCAAGAAATTGCCAGTCTCCGAAAAAATCTACATGCTCTCCTTGTTGTAAGATATTACACCTTTTTTTGGTCCAATTTTTGTTCAAAGCAACTGTAATTTAAAAACAAAAGTGAAAGATTATGCTTGAAGCCTTGAACAAGAGTTAATTCACTAACAGATTTATTTTACAATTGGACGAAATTGAGATCAAATATTTGTAAAATTTAATGCCTAAATGCAGTACACAATATAACATCAAATGAATTTGAAATCAAGTTTGTGTAGCAGTTCAGATTAAAAAAAAAAACTATCAAAGCTTTGGATATTAAATTCCAGTACTATTATGATATTATGAACAATATTGTTTAAATGTTCTGTTAAAAAATTTTATAGTCTGTTGTTTGAAATTTTTCATAACGTGTTTAATAGTAAATTTTCATGTAAGATGTTATTTTACAAAAAAATATATAGCTTGGATGATAAATTCCAGACAGACACTACATGTACTCTGGAAAGTAAAAAAGATAGTAAATACCTATCTTTTGCACAAAGTTTTTCAATCTACAGTTTAAACTTTAATACATATAACCTATATTATCTATTGCATCTTTTAGGATGTTGTTGCCTTCCTTGAGAAGTTTTCACTACGTCAGGCAGTGTCCATGGCATACTACAGTGTGGAGATTATTACCCCTTTGACAAGACACGAGACAGAAACGTTTGATGGAAATTTTGATTCTAGGTATTTTATCTGTGTTTTTTTTATGGTCCTGTTTTATTGAATATCTGCTAATACAATGAAGAGTGTTGAAAAATATTTTACAGCTACAATTGTAATGTATTTTAATTAGGAACAGTGCAATCATTGATTACATATTATAAATCACATATCTCAGTAGTTTATACAAATATTTTTCAGTGTGTCAAGGTCACGGCAGTCCATTCCAGCGCTAGCATATAAGGTGAGTTATTTTCTTATTTAAAGTCGGACACATTACAGAAAGGCTTTTGTGGCGGAGTGGTTAAGGTCATTGACTTCAAACCACTTGCCCATCACCCGTGTGTTTGAATACTGATAGACTTTCAATTCTTTCATGTGAGGAAGCTATCCAACTAGCAAAGGTGCCACTTCTTGCCTGAAATAATGCATGGAAGGGCACCTGATGTCTTCCTCCACCAGGAAAGCTTGAAAGTCGCCATATAACTTATACTGTGTTGGTGCAATTTAAAACCAAAAAGAAAAGAAAGAATGTAATAATTTTTAGCTCGACTATTCGAAGAATATGAGAGCTATTGTAGTCGCCCCGGCGTCAGCGTCCGCGTCGGCGTCTGCGTTGGTTAAAGTTTTTTGTAAAGTCAAATATCTCAATTATTGCTTGAGATATTCAATTGAAACTTACAATACTTATTTATAGTAACAAGGTACATCAGATTGACAAGTTGGATAACTCTGCCTACAATATTGACAGAATTATGCCCCTTTTTAACTTAGAAATTTTGGTTAAAGTTTTTTTGTAAAGTCAAATATCTCAATTATTGCTTGAGATATTCAATTGAAACTTACAATACTTATTTATAGTAACAAGGTACATCAGATTGACAAGTTGGATAACTCTGCCTACAATATTGACAGAATTATGCCCCTTTTTAACTTAGAAATTTTGGTTAAAGTTTTTTTGTAAAGTCAAATATCTCAATTATTGCTTGAGATATTCAATTGAAACTTACAATACTTATTTATAGTAACAAGGTACATCAGATTGACAAGTTGGATAACTCTGCCTACAATATTGACAGAATTATGCCCCTTTTTAACTTAGAAATTTTGGTTAAAGTTTTTTTGTAAAGTCAAATATCTCAATTATTGCTTGAGATATTCAATTGAAATTTAAAATACTTTTTTATAGTAACAATGTACATCAGTTTGCAAAATTGCATAACTCTGCCTGCAATATTTGCAGAACTATTTGCTCCTTAAATTTGAAACTTAGAAAATTTTGGTTAAAGGTTAAAGGTCTTCAAAGATATTTACTTGAAACTTTACACATGTACTTAGGGTCATAATTTGCGGGTCATAATTGTATGTCACTGACCAAGTTCCATAACTCTATCCTGCATAAGGCTGATTCATATCCCCTTTTCTACTTAGTCTCTTGGTTAATGTTGACATGCAAGTTTTACATATCTCAATAACTATTAAAGATATTTATTTAAAACTTCACATATGCATTTAGGGTCATAATTGTAGGTCACTGACAAAGATCCATAATTCTATCTTGCATTTAGGCTGATTTTTCTCCCCTTTTTCAACTTAGAAATTCATGGTAAAGTTTTGCTTGTAAGCTGTTATCTCTATAATTACTGAAGGGTTTGTGCCTTTTTTGGGACAATTATATGCATTCATAATAATAAAGCAGTGATTTACTTGATAAAACATCTTAATAACAAGCCTTTGTACCTTTTCTGTCAATTTTATGTATTCATAGGTAATTAGTATTATTATACTCAATAAAACACCCTTGTGACATTACCTTCCGAATGGTCAAGCCAATACTGTATAATTAGACTGTCTCTAAGGCCTATAACATGAATTTATAAAAAAAAATTAGCCCTTTTGTGAACTTAGAAAATTTAACATTATCAAAGCTCTAAATTTTATGTTATCAAGGCTCTTTTACTATCAAGCACTTAGAATAGTCGAGCGTGCTGTCCTACCGACAGCTCTTGTTTTAAAAATTATTTCATCCTCTTTTTATCATAGGGTTAACGCATGTTTTTCAGTGTTATAACGTCGCAGAGTCCCGAGGAATGGTTGGTGCCCTAGCTTGGTACAGCGACGGCTAGGCTCTAACAGTTCCAAGGGACTCTGCAGACATTATTACATGGAAAAAAAATGTGCGTTGACACTATTATAGCATACAATTTTATACCACATTGATATAGGCCTATTTAATACAGAACAAATACATAAAATCCCGAGGGAAAACTGTTCGCACTTGGACAGTATTTATCCAATTCACATGTTGTTTTGGCAACATGTTTTACGTATGCGTTTAATTTTTACAGGGCCAACAACTTACATATCAAATACAAATCAAATGTTCAGAGCCAAACAAAATGTTGAATTTTAATTAATTTAACAAAGCTTTATTAATAAAGAAAGAACTCTATCCAAGACAAAGTATGACAGGAGAGAGTTTCATATAAGCTTTCTACTCAATCCTGAATGCAATTTATATATTGTAATTTTGTCTGTAAATATTGATGAAGAAATAAATATTGTTTAAACCAAAGTATGACCCTCAGAAATTCGAATAGAGGGTAAACGATTGGGGACATTTAGAACCAGATTTGTGACTTGACATCAGAACCGTTTTTGAAAGCACAAGTTCATACAAAACTGGCACTGAACGTTATTCTCGCAAAGAAGTACTAGTATAAAGTGTATTTATCAAAGTAAACAACAAGAAAACAACATTTTCTCATATTCATTTTGTGTTATCTTGTTTTCTAAGTTAATTGGAGGGTTAAACTGAATGACAGGTATTTGTTTACCTTGACAACTGTCTGTTAGAAAGGACAACAACCAAGATTAGCGGCGATGTCTATATGCCGTATTTCCGGCATGGGTACTTGAATGCTGCTCGCCTTTATGCTAGTGAGGCCCTTGATTCAATATAACAAGAGCGCATGACTCTGGCAAATGGGCCAAATTGTCATTTTTGTTTGTTTACTGGGTCCTGTATGTATTGTGCATAGGTAAAACCGGGCTATAACAGGAGCGTGTGTCTTTGTTAACACATGGTTTTGGCCCCGTTAAAACATGGGCAAAAGAGGGAAAAATAGCTGATTTTATGCTATAATGTGGCATAAAGGACATTTGTGTTGAGAAGATAATATTAACTTTATAACTTTATTATCTGTAACGTTTGCCTTACATATCAAAATACATGTACATGTAACTTGAGGCAATGTATAAATATGTGAGTACAAGAATTCATATAGTGTTTAAATTTTTGTTTAATGTATATAAATAAATCAAATACATGTAAATGATTTCTCTGAATGAATAATGGTTTGTGTGATCAATCTTTCTAAAATAAAATATTAAAAAAAAAATCTCCCTCCATGAAATTTATATGATCTACAGTGTCTTTTATTGTGCCATAATGGAAATAATCTATAATATTGTTCATCTTTGTAACCCTGAAAACTTTTCTTTGTTTTGAAGATGGAGTGAATTGACTTTGAATTTTCCAAAGTTTATCTTATATGATAAATGCTAAGTTAAGCTCAGCATAGTGCTTTCATATGTTCCAAGGTAGTTCAATAATTCCTGTTTCTTCAATTGTGTCAGAGTTTTTCTAAGTATAAACAGTTTATGTTCATCACCAGTCGTGTCTTTCATCTTCCATTTCTCCAGCATCATCACCGCGGCAACTTTATTGTCTGTCGTCTGCTTTTCAATCTGCTGTATTTCAGTACGATTTAGTTTTAAATATTTAGCAACATTTTTCCAGTCGTTTTCAATCCCATGTCCAATTGTTTGTATGACTTCGTCCGTTATGAGATAACCCATTCTTGTACCTCACAACTTGCAAATGTTAAAACTTTAAAAAAAAAAAAAAAAAAAAATTGCAAAGACACTGATGTACTTTTGAAATTATTCACTTGTCTTTTTCTTCTTGTTTCTCCTGAAATTTAATAAACACAAATGAATGATCATACAATTTAATGAATATAGTCAGGTGAGCCTACACACCTTTGTCATCCAACTATCATCTGCTCAATATCTGTACTTTGATAATCCATATTAGAAAGTTTCTGTTGACTTAATGACAAGTCAGTTACATCAAATCTTGACCTTGAACCACTTGCCCCCATTAATGTGAGTATGACTCCAAAAAGAGACAATTTCTGTGATAATAGTAAATCATTTACTTAAAATCTGGACAGCTATTATTCAAGATGTCAGTGATTTTCTTGCTTATATAACAGATTCCGATAAAAGGCCTTTTCCAAATTGAAATTACATTTAAAATCATACAGTTTTCCCAAAAATCTGAACTTAAACCTGCCTTTTTTCTTCCCAAATTAGCAATTTTAGCGTTAATTTTTCCCAAAATCAAGTGGCTAAGGCCTCTTCCCAATTAAGTGAGAAAAGTCATTTTAAGCTTGTTTATTTTGAAAAAAAATTTGAGTTATTATGATCACTGCGTTGTCATGGTTGCCGTTGCTGTGCAAAAACTTTAATGTTGAATTTTCAAGGTATCAACATGAAACTTGGAGTTCTTAATTATAATTTCTTCATGATAAGATACAGTTGTTAGACAAGGGGCATAATTATGAAAGCAAGATTTTATGGATTATGGCCCTTTTTAGCTCGACTATTCGAAGAATATGAGAGCTATTGTAGTCGCCCCGGCGTCAGCGTCAGCGTCCGCGTCGGCGTCTGCGTTGGTTAAAGTTTTTTGTAAATTCAAATATCTCAATTATTGCTTGAGATATTCAATTGAAACTTACAATACTTATTTATAGTAACAATATACATCAGATTGACAAGTTGGATAACTCTGCCTACAATATTTACAGAATTATGCCCCTTTTTAACTTAGAAATTTTGGTTAAAGTTTTTGTAAATTCAAATATCTCAATTATTGCTTGAGATATTCAATTGAAACTTACAATACTTATTTATAGTAACAATGTACATCAGATTGACAAGTTGGATAACTCTGCCTACAATATTTACAGAATTATGCCCCTTTTTAACTTAGAAATTTTGGTTAAAGTTTTTGTAAATTCAAATATCTCAATTATTGCTTGAGATATTCAATTGAAACTTACAATACTTATTTATAGTAACAATGTACATCAGATTGACAAGTTGGATAACTCTGCCTACAATATTTACAGAATTATGCCCCTTTTTAACTTAGAAATTTTTGTTAAAAGTTTTTGT